GAGGCGAGCGGCCTCTGCGAGCGCTGGGCCCCGCCCTGGGGCTGGCGATGTGCTGCCAGGGCTGAGGATGATGGTAGATTGCCAGGTGAGTGCCCCGCCCGGCCGCGGCCGCCCTCCCCGGCGTCGGCGGTGGAGGGAGGACCACATGCCTCCCCCGTCAACACCCCATCCATCCCGGAGGGAGCCCGGCGCCGAGTCCACGTTGAGCGCGCGCTTACGCAGTTCCGTGTCCCACCCTTCCTGGTACAACCGGGAAACTGAGGCCAGGAGAGAGACAGAGACTGGCTCGGGGCCCACGAAGTGGGCAGAGTCCAGAAGAGAAGGAAGGGTCCCAGCCTCTTATGCGAGGGCTCGGCCACTCCCATGGAGTTTCCTTTGGGAATGAACGCTCCTAAAATCCTGGGGGACTCCTCCACCCCCTCCCATAAAAGGCTGTTTCCTCTCGGCATCCTGATGCGCCCACAGGTATATGCACACACATTGACGTCACAGATGGGGACCACGGCGTAGATTCAGAGGAGGAGTGGATACTGGGAGGTGACCAGAGGGAAAGAAGAAAGAGGTTGGAGGCAGCTCTACCATGGGGCAGGACCATCTAGTCTCCTGGCAACATACTCAGGGCCCAAAGCATGAGGGGGAAAGATGCTAGGCTGATGGACAGAGTATCCCCAAGGTGCCCAGGGGTCTGCCTGGGCAGGGACCATCCCCAGAGTAGCCTGGAGAGGACAGTTTCTGAGTCCTGCATCCACCACTCTGGGCACATAGAACTAGGATGAGATCCGCCCCCAACCCCAGTGTGGAAGGAACTACAGGACAGAAGGCTTCAGCATATTCCACTGTAAGTGGGGTACATAGATGGGGTGATCCCAAGGGTCCTACAGCTTGTAAAAGAGTCTTTTGGCCTTGGTTCTCCATCCATGACTCACCGTGCTCTGAGTCCTTGGAAACTGTTTTCTACTTCCTCGAGGTCCTTCTGAGCAGAGGGCAGACTGGGGACTTGGGGGACAGGGAACCTGGGTAGTGCAGAATGAGGCAGGACCACTCGTCCAGGGACAAGGAACAAATCTATCTTTGTTGGAGCCTAGGGGTCCTCATTTGGAAGTGGGTGGAGTCATTACCCTGGTGGGGGTCAGGAGGCCTTGTGAGTGAACTGGACACTACGACAGTGGAGGGAA